TAATGACCTATTTGAGCGTTGGGTGTTCAAGTGCTGTGATTTCACCGGCTCACGAGAGCACTAAACGTACATTTGATCTCTGAATCATGACATCATCGAAATGATCGAAATGCAACATTGTGAAATATATTTGTTTAATGATTTTCCTGGTTACTCGCTGAGCTTTTAGCTCACCCCAAAAATATTTTATTCCCCTCCGCAGGGCTCATGGCAAAGGAAGGCTTGTAGTACTTGTGCGCGTGATTGGATGGCCGTTATGTTGTACAGTTTGGATTTGGGGAATTTTTCTAATAAAGAAACTGTAGAAAAGGCGGGCGATTAAATTAAATAAACCCTAGAAAATTAGAAAATTTTCGGGTTCTCACACTCATACTTTTCGGGGCGTCACAATCGGCAACTGGACCGACTCAAGGACAGGAAAATATTGAGGGTAATCAAGTGGCTACTGCCATTAATAGGATGACTGATATCCTAGAACGCTTAGTTGATAGACCAGGTCCTGGACCATTTAACCAACCTGGGGGACAGGAAAGAGGGGAGAATAGAGCCTTAGAGAGGTTCTTAAAGTTTAACCCGCCTAAGTTTCTTGGTGAATCCGATCCTGAAATAGCGGAGAATTGGTTAGAGAGGATGACTAATATATTCGCTACTTTAGACTATATCGAAGATAGGCGAGTAAATTTTGCTGCTTTCCAATTTGAGAGAGTGGCACGTGCCTGGTGGGACCTGATAAGGGGAAAGTGGGAGAGAGTTCAAACCCCTTGGACTTGGGAGAATTTCACGAGGGAATTTAATGAGAAATTTCTTCCGCCCTTAATCCAAGAGAAAAGGGAGGATGAATTCATCAAGTTGAAACAAGGAACACTTAGTGTAGCTGAGTATGAGGGAAAGTTCACTAAGCTTTCTAAGTACGCTCCTGAATTGGTGATCAATGAATGGAGGAGGATTAGACGGTTCGTGCAGGGACTTAATGAAGAAATCCAGGAGGGTTTGGCCGCAGCCCAAATCTCTACGTTCACTGAAGTCTTAGAAAAAGCACAGAGAGTCGAGAGTGCAAGGCTGCAAGTTAGAGACTTTCATGTTAAGAAAAGGGGCACTTCTAGTAACCCTTCGGGACAGGCAGATAAGAGTGCCCCACCTTTTAAAAAGGGAAAAGGTACGGGTGGAGTGGAGATATCTAGCACACCAAAAGGGACTCAATCAAGAGGAGATCGCAATGGACGAGGTCAATCGAGAGGGACACCTCCAAGTGGTCAATCTATGGCTCCCCAAGTTGTTTGTGGTTATTGTGGCAAGCTCAACCATATAAAGAGTGATTGTTTTAGGAAGCAAGGGAGGTGCTTATATTGTGGTAGTACCGAGCACCAAATATCGAAATGACCAACCGTACCAAAAGAAGGAGGTAATGTCCAAAGGTCTGAAAAGTCAACCGTTAAGCAGTCTAGTACTGGAGGAAGTCGATCTAAAGCACCAGTTAGGGTTTATGCATTAGGCTATCAACAAGTTTCCAATTCTGCTACGGTCATTGAAGGTATGATTCTTGCCTTTCATTGTCTCTCTAAGGTTCTAAGTGACCCTAGTACAATTCACACTTTTACAAAATCCTAGATTTGTAAGATAGAATCAAAATTTGATTACAATTTAGATGGATAGAAATTTTGAGAGATGGGTTAGCAATTGTAAGTTACTGATTGATCCGATAGGCGCGATTATTAAGGGGTATGATGTTATCCTAAACGTGAATTTCAAGGATGAAATTCTTTTAAGGAGGGGAGGTTGTGGTTTTCCAAAATTTTCTTATTTTTGTCATATATTACTGGTTTATTTAAATAGTTATTCACTCATTTTCTCCGAATTATTTAATTCGACTACTTAAAATCCATTTATATGGAAAAACATCTCTCTTATATTTTAAAGCGTTTTGTTAGAAAATTTACTTTTCGAAAATTAGTTTAGTTTGGAACAACGAGTACACGTTTTTCTAGACTATATTTGAATCGAGAGTGTATTAAATTTTGGATAAGTAAGAATGATCAATAGTAGATTAAGAAAAGTTAATTTGAAATTTGAGGAGTTAAAACTTGACTCACGTGAGGACTCGCAAAATTTATTATTTTAAATTCCATTTCGAACTTATTTAAATATTTAATTGTCCATTTACTCCGAATATTATTTTCTAGCCTATTTAGACCCAATTACATGAGTCTATAGCTTAATTATATTTTTAAAGTGACTTGTTTCAAAATTTAATTTTTGAAATCTCGTTAAGTGAGAATAGTGGATACGCGATTGGAGATTATAGTCGAATTAGAAGTACAATAAGCTTCAAAAATTGGAGACTTGTACATTGTAGACACCAAATTTTTGACTTTATTTTTCATTGTTAGTTTTATTGATATTTATTTTAGTTTGGTTTTACTAATCTCATTTTTAGACATTCTAGCATTTAAAAAAAAAAAAAGAAAAAAGAAAAGAAAGAAAAAAGGAAAAGTCAAAAAATCAAAAATCAATCAAAGGACAAAAACAAGACACATGAACCTATTTTTGAGGAGGAGATCCTGGCCTTTCATATTAGGTTTAGTTTTGGGGTGCCCTAAAAAGATGAAAGGGCCGCAAGCTAAAAGAGGGATCCGCGGGGAGAAAGAAAGAAAAAACGGAAAAACTGCTAGCAAACGGGAGAAAACTGAGAGAGTGAGCCGTGAGCAAGGGGAAGAGGGAAGAGTGAATCAACGAACAAGAACTAGACAAAGGGAAAGGTCAGAGGACTGCTTCTGGTGGCGACTGTGGATTGACGAAAGAACGAAAGAGAGGGGCTGAGTGACGAGACAGAGAAGAGCAACCAGAAAAATAAGAAGAGGGAGAGAGCTTGCAGCAAAAAGGCTGGGCAAGATCAGAGATCCGAGAAAGAGTAAGCAGAAAAGGAGATCCAAGGCGGAAAACCCAGAGTCAGGTTCGGTCGTTGATATCTTCATCGAGCCCAGGCAGTGAACAGGTAGTCTTCAACCTTTGTTCTTGGCTATTTTCTTTTCGTATGGAACCTGGTCTGTGTAACCAGAAATCCTGGGCTTTTACTTGCGTTTGGATGTTGAATTACTGGAGTAAAGTTTGATGTTGGAAGTATTGGGAGACAGTTCGTTGTCTTTCTTGCATCCATTTCCATTTCGTCAACCAAAGTTGTTTCCTTTTTGCTGTTTGCTGTGAACCTTGTTGGCTGCGTATGTCCTGAGTTGGAAGTTGCGTTTTTTTAATTCCAGATTTGCATGTTTTCTTGAATCTTTGTATTGAACATGAAGAGCAGAACTTGGTTTTGTGCAATGTTGTCATTGTTGTTTTGTAAGTTTTATGTATGCTGGGATTTGAGGATTATATGAAACAAAAATGATGGGTTGGGTCGGAAAGTCCTTAGAGGAAAGTCTGCTGTAGCTTTGTCCATTTCGATTAGGCTGCATTTTACTTCCTTTTGTGTGCTGTTTTCTGTTGTAAGTTGGATTATCATGCTCATGGTTGTTTAGTTTAGATAATGTTCCATCGGAGTGTTAGGAAAATGAAGTTTTGATTAAACGTGCTCATGGAATCTGTGGACCTCTTGTTTGGCCGAGGTTACAAATGCAAAAGCTGCTGCAATAAGCATGAAATTTTCGGCTCATTGCAACTGTACGTGCGGACAGTTGTTGTTCCTTTTATTTGCTGAACTTGTGGTTTGGTTAACATGTTCCCTGTGTTTATTGTTCGACTGTTATGTCATAAACGTATCAGCTATCAATTCTTTTTGGAACCATGAGAAAAATGTGAGCTATGCATTTAGTATCCATTTCTTGTCTAAGTTTAATGTCTGGAAGAGCCGAAGTTTCCTGTCCATAAGTATAGCCTGCTCTTGTTTATTTATGATGATTTCAGTGTTTGTTTGAAGAGTGAAATGTTCTGTGCTGAATATTTTAATTGGCCAGTGCAAGTAGATGATAAAGCTCCTCGGCTGCACTTTTTCTTTCTTATTTTCTTGGACGAAGTCTTTTCTGTGGGAATCCTTGGATTTGAATGATCATACATGGATTTATGTGATGCTTGGTTTAAAAGGTCTTGATCAAACTTTGTGTATTTGGAATGTGAAGTCCGAGTTTGGAAGTAAAAAATGCAGCAGGCCTGCACTTTCGGTTGCTAAAATTTCCAAAGTTTCGGCAGGCTGCTGAAAATTTCTTATTGTTGCAGAAATGCTTTGTAAGCTTTATATGAAGATTGCTTGAGCCATCCAATTTGCTGGTTGATCTTATGTTGGAAAGAGGTGTTGAGTTTGCATTTTTTGGGGGCTGAAATATTCGAAGCATGTTCCAATCCTTTGCTGGAAAAATGAACAACCGAATTGCTGAACTTTTCTTGTATATTTTCCAGAATTTTTGCATGATCTTTTCCTAAGTCTTCTGTTTGTTTTTGATGGTGGTGATTATATGTTTTGCTTAGCCTAAAGTTGCAGATTTGGTTTTGAAAATATATAATCCAAGTTGGGATTAAGGAACAGGCATTTGTAAACAGAGAGTGCAGCGAGTTTGTTTTGATTGCAACCAATTCATCCGTGGGTCTTGCATGATTCAGATTTAATGTTTGCATGATCTCTTTCTATGTTTTGCTTGTTGGATGTCAAGTTTGAGTTGTGTTTGTTTAGTTTGAAGTTTGGATGATTGGATGTTGGGTCCAGATTCGGTACTTGAAGTTGGAACAACATTGCAGCAGAGATGTTAGATAGAAATTGCAGAAGCTGTATTCATTCGTAGCTTGCATGAGTTTGCATGCAAAAATTTTCAAAAAACTGCACTTTGACCCCCCAAGTCTCCCTTTGTCCTGCTATGGCCCAATCAATTGAATGATTTCCTCAATTTGGCCCTTGGTAGCCTTTAATTTTACAACTTCATTGCTTGTTTGTTTCAATTGACTACCATGCTTTGTTTCAATTGCACTTAATTCATGGTTTTAGGGGCTTTATGACCAAGTGAGCTTGTGTTTGCCTGTTTTCTTTAATTTTTCCAAATAAATTGGTGCCTTGACCATCTCTTTTATTTTGGAGGATAAATAAGTGATTTCACTTCATTGGGGCCCAATTGCAAGGGAGGTAACCTCTATCTCCTTGATTTTCATTTCTCCTATGTGATCCAACGTGCTAAGTGTAAATTGCATGTCTACGTTGCTTTCCTTGCCTTTCTTTAATCCCTTTCATTTATTTCATTTACTTTTGCTTTTGTTTAAGTTTTATGGGGTATGTGTACACCTCTTGGCTTGTAATAGATAGGGCTTGGCGAGCAATTTGGTCCATTTACCCCTTCCCCTTTATGTTTTTATGGGGTATGTGTACACCTCTTGGCTTGTAATAGATAGGGCTTGGCGAGCAATTTGGTTCATTTCCCCTTCCCCTTTTGTTTTAGTTAGCAAGTGTAATAGGTTCATTGCTTGTCTATGTGTTATGTGTTAAGTGCTTTACTAGGCTCTTGCATCTAGTCGAGCATGCTAATTGTTATGTGCTATGTGTTTATAGGTGTTTGGCATGTCTAATCGCTTTCCATAGCCATGAATGAATGTGATGGATGAATGTACGTCACCACACTAGTCCAATGCTAGTTGTGGCTCATTATTTCATTAGGAATTCATAGAAAGGGCTAGTCCAACGCTAGACCCAATAGGATTTTTCCTTTGTTTTTCATTAATGCATTATTTGCCTGTTCACTACATATCATGCATTTTTCCTTAGTTTTATCATCTGGCATGCTCCTCGATTCCCCTTTCCCCTCACTTTAGGTCTTGCATCTCATGCTAGTTAGGGTACATTTGCCTGAAGAGTCCCCTTCTGATAAGGGAAACGAGCGAGTGTGGCTACTCGATAGCCTTAGCACGCTAGTTCCCCCCTTCTATCAAAGGAAAAATCAAGTCACAAAGTTAGGACTCCCCGTTCCCGTTTTGATGCATTCCTATAGGATTCACGCATTTCATTCATTCACTATCACTTACTGTATATTCCATTCCTCTTTCTACATTCTCACTTCACACTACTTTCATTTTACACGTTTTTATTCAACTACTTACACTCTATACCATATCACTCACACATGCACCTTATGGCATTTTTCACCTTATTATTCTTTACTTACTTTACCTTGCAAAGACATTTGCACACCTCCACTTATATCTTATTACTTTTATCATTTTTCTCACTTCACACAAACTCACACTTTCACATGGCATGCATTCCACTCATTTTTACGTCATTTAGGATTACGTGTTACCTCTCCAAAGGATCATTATTGGGCTTCACAATTAATGTGATTGGCACCACTCAACCTTTGAAGAGAAATTTCCCCCATGTCCCCCTAGTTCTAGGTTTTTGCATTCATATAGACATATCCAACACGCGATACATACCTTGGGTAGAAAAATTAGGAAAAATTGGTTTAAGTCACGCAACTAGCCTTGGCTAGGTCGAAGGGGTGCCTTGAATTTTTATCCTTGCCTTCCTCTTCGTCAAATGTGACCCCCGATCCCTCTTTTGGTTACGTAGACCCAAAAGTTCTCTAAAAGGGTTTATTTACTTTTTTCATTCAAAAACAAAAAACCATTTTTTGGGTGACTTGGTACACCCTAACCCTATACCAAGTGGCGACTCCATTTTTGATACAAAAAACCCTTTTTGAACTTTATATGGCCAAACCGTCGCATTATCAAGTCTCATGGCCTTTTACTTTTCATTTACACACGTTCACATTCCATTACACCACTCACATCTCACACCACACACACACATTCAAAAAGTGGGGCGCGACATACATTAGTCCTAAAATAGGTATTTTTATGTATAAGTGTTCAAAGGTTAGTTAGTTATATTACCGTTATAAGAACTTCTTAGAAATTTCACTATCTCGCGCTTAAATTGGAAATACGCGTTTTTACGCGCGCGAGTAATTGAGGAGCCTTCGACCATTATTTTGGGACTATTAAGAGTGAGTAATAATAATATGAATGTAAGTGCATTAGAGGTTTAGTGCACTAATGCAATAAACTCGAGAGGAATCGAGCACGAAACGCACGCGCATGTGCATTATTTTAGTGGACGACTTTGAGCAAATTTGAGCCACAAGTTTTAAGCCTACCTTAGAAGCTAATAACATCATAATTTCCTTCCTCTCATACTCTCAAACAGCCGAGCAACAAAGGAAGAACAAGACCAGAAAATTCCTCCACTCTTTCTCCTCAATTTCTTGCTCAAATTACCTCCAAATTTTACACACAACACTCAAATCACTTGGTGATCAAGATAAGCTCGGAAAGGAGCTGCCTCTCACGGTTTTTCTCCAGCTCAAAGTGATCGAAATACTTGTCTTGGCTCTCTAAGAAAGTAAGTAATGATCAACCACTTAATTCTTGATTTATGGAAGATAGATTACACTCATGAGCTCTTGGATTCTCATGGGCAGCTTTAAATTGTTAGAAAATTGGTGAGTGGGCTCTATGAACTCCCACTCTTGGGTTGATGGCTGATATGATGTTTGATGATGGATTTAATGTTGATTTAGTGCTCAAATTGGTAGATTAATGGTGCATAGCTAGTATAAACTTCAAGGAGTGCATGGATGTAAAGTTTTCAATTCTGCCCCTGTTATGATCGTGCCTCTTTTGCGGAATTTTGAGGTTTTAATGGCTTGTATATGATTTTTATATGTTGTCTAGTTGGTGTACACAGTTTCATCGAAAAATATTGAGGTTTGGTTGGTCAAATGGATTAATCTAGCAAAACTAGCAAACCTGGAAAATTTTTCCCGTAATGCTCAGACAGCCTTTTTGTTTCATCCATAACTCTGTACTCCGAAGTCGAAATCATGTTCCGTCAGTGGCATTTGAAAATAGACATTCCCAGCTTTCCAACGGTATAAAATGCACCCCCTAATGCCACCCGAGTATTCCGTACCAACCATTTAAAGATGACTGTCCTGTTTCTCTATTTTTCTGGAACGAAGTTCAGAAGCTACAACTTGAGGCTCGAATTTGAACTAGTTGTGTGCTGAATCTCAGAATGATTTCTTCTGTGAAATTATAGTTTTATGAATGTATTTTCCAACGCCACCAACCATGCTTAATTCCGAGTTGAATTGAGTGATTTGTGATCAAATACGGAACCTGTCCTGTTCTTGAAAACCCTAAATTTTGGGCAGAATTGATGCTAGACTTGGTGTGGACTAGCCAATTGAGTTTCTTGGAGTTAAAACACTTATCAAATATACCATGAATGTTCCTTAGGCTTTTCCTACACAAATGAACCATGTTTGAAGGATTTTCCTTGACCAAATGTTTGGAATGAAAAACAAAAAGCTCAAGGCAGTTTTGCCTTGGGATTTTTTGAAACTTTGGTTGTTTGGTTGACTACCTTTCCGAAGTTATTTCTCCATGAAATTTGGTAGAGGGACAACTATTATATGGTAGTATTATACTGCTAATTATGGTGTTATTCCGAGGCCGTTTCATGACTCAAATAAATTACCAAAATTCATGACCCGAGTTTGGAAAACCCTTGTTTTACAAGGGAATTTTGGTAACTTTGAGTTGCTATATCTTAGTGCTCAAAACTCCGTTTCTTGTTCCGCTTGTTTTGTTATAAACTTGGATTGTAACTCTAATAGAGTTCCAAATTTCAAAGGCTAGTTCCAATCAAGTGAATTTTGCCGAATTTTCAAATTTGGCCAAAAATCAACTTAAATCTGCCTTATGAACCAAAACAGCGACTTTGAGCTTATTTTTGAATGTTCTCCATTTGGAATCTTAGAAAAGTGTATTCTAGGAACGTTTAGTACCAAGTTCTCTAACGGTACCAAGTTTTCCAATTTTTGACTTGTAAAGCGTGAGATACGATTTTTTTAATGTCTCGTATCAAAACTGAAATTTTCCGAATTCCAAGGAAATGGAGTTTTTCAAGTACTCCTTATTCCTTCGATATTACTTGAACGTTTTACACTTGATTTCAAAGATGAAAATCAGATTTCGCTTGTGTTTTAAAACCCCATTTTTGAGTCTCGATTTACGAGTAATTAAGGCTCGTTTTCATGAAATTTTCTTAGATTGTACAAGTGTGCAATCTTCCTCGATAATTAGGGGTTTTAAGCGATAGTGTGTAATAGACAATTACTATTTGCTCAGTTGCTCAAGGAGACCTTTCGAGGGGAACACCTAAAGGCTCGTTTACGCACTTACTCCCTTGTTTTGATTGGTGAGTGTCAAGTGCATGAATTTATTGCTAAGTGGTTAATTGTTTCTTATCCGTTATGTGAATTTAAAATTTTGAGACGAGTGTGTACTTTACCGCACTCGTTCTCTTTCGAACAAAATTATATTTGTATTTTGCTATGTGAATTCATATTCGACTTGTACATAGTAATGTGGATGTGATTCGTATATGTGATTCCTATTTGGAATCGTCGATTTGAGCGCTGCTCATCGACTTATATTTGTATTCGTATTCGTCTTCGTATTCGGGAGACGCCCAAACTCGTTGGTTAACTTTGCGATTCGAGCCAGCATGAGCTTGGTCGATAAGTTTAGCAAACCATGAGATATTCGTAGAGCATGATCTATTGGAGAGATTTTGCTCGGCATTACTCGTGCAGTATTGCCATAATATACTCGAGTATTATCAAAACTTTGATGAGCGGGCTCGGTAAACGGGGTGCAACGGTGACGGGATTCAAAGAAAAGTGGTGTATCTACGGATTTGGTACTTATGTGGTTGACGGAGTGTCAACATGAGATGTAATCAAGACTTTGACTCAACTACGTGGAATTTAGCTCCTGAGAGCTACAGTATCCTTGAATTGTTTATGTTCAATTTTCCTATTTGAAATGTGAATTATTTGAACTTGATAGCTTTATTTACTACATAAATTGTGGCTACTTGGATTACGTGTTTGCATGTGTATTTCTTGGCCTCACTGAGTATTGGCTCATCCCATTAGTTTGTTTTTCTGAACAGGAATGGAGGAAGTGAACTTCGGGAGGAACCCCTTTTGATGTATTTTTGGTATTAGGGTTTCAAATGTTTTGGCTGGACTCGTGATTGTTGTATAGTTTGGGGAACTGATGTATCTTTTGGGAACTTGATGTAAGGATTGAATAACTGATGTATTTTGAACTCGTGGTGTGAGCCTTGGATGGTTGATTATGGAAGTGACTTTTCTTTATTTGGCTCGTATTAATTGTTATGTATCGATAAACTTGAATCGATTTGTCGTGAGTCCTGGCGAGAGTTGGACAGGTGTCCCGCGGATACCCTTGGGTTCGCCCTTAGGAGAAGTGAGGGCGTCACATGAACGGTCTCTAAAGGTTTAGCATTGGACTAATCCATTTCTACCAGTTTTCACTAGTGTTGGATTAGTGAGAAGTCGGGGAGAAAGGCCACAACTAGCGTTGGACTAGTGTGGTGGCGTCATGCATTTATTATAACTAAATAAATCATATAAAACATAATTAAACAAGTAAACACATAAAACACGTAGAGCACATAACACATAGATATAATTTCTAGATGCAAAAACCCTAATGAAAGCAAGTAAACACATAAGCACACAAGCATGCAAACACACCAGCGAATAAAAACAAATAGAGTCCTAACTATTACATTCGAGGCCCTAACTACAATCTAAGGGGGGAATTCTAAAAATAATACCTTAACTATTACATTTATCTAACTAAATATATTTTTAACAAAAATTAAAACCTATCTATTACATAGGCTAGCTAAATACATGTCTTGAACCCCTATCTATTAAATTTGGCATTTAAATGTCTATCAAATAATCATCAAAATTAAATTAAATATACGAAACTTAAAACAAATAGAACAAATAACTAAAAGAAAAATCACTCAAAAACATGCAATTGTACACATAAAGACACATAAGAGCACATAAGAGGATTTAAAATAATAAAAGAGGTTAACTCCCTTAAAGCTGTGGTTAAATGGGCTGAAATTTGCCCTAATTATATTCCAAAATCAACAAAATAATCAAGGTACCAATTTAATTATGAAAAAATGGCAATAATCATGAAATCTACCAATTAAAGCACTTAAATGAAGTATAATTAACAATTAAAGAAGAAAAATGACTTATATTTAAGAAATCAAATCTTCTAGGGATCTAATTGCAAATATTGAGAAAGTTTTAGGGGTTCAATTATTATTATTACAAAATTTAGGGGTCAAATTGAAAGGAAAATAAAGTCTAAGGACCAAACTACAATTAAATTAGGGACCTAATTAAAAATTCTAAAGATTTTAGAGTCACAGCATAATTACTTAAAAGGTTAGGGATTGACTTGTAATTGTTGCATCCATATCACTTAAGGAATTGAGCCATTCGACCATCCTCAACATTTTTGTGGGCCAGAAGACATTTGGCCCAATCGAAAGTCCAAGGCAAAAGGGGCGGGCTAGTCCATCATTTTGACCTAAATTAATCCAACAAAACGGATGGGTATTAACCCTCCAACCCAAGCCAAAAATTCAAAAAATTAACCCAAACCAATCTCTTAAACCCAAACAAAATAACTTTTTAACCCAAATTACCTATTTCACTAAAATCCAACATGATAAAAAAAAATCAACTAAAAATTATTAAACCCTAATTATATCCTAAAACCGGAAAATAAATTGCTCAAGAGACAGATTGAAATATGCAAAAAATAATTAAAACAAAATAGGGGGAAAATTGTTTCAATTGCAGAAATTTTTGAGCCGTCATGAAATTAGGCAAAAGTTGGGGGTCAAAATGAAATTTTAAAAAATATTCATGCAGTCTAGTTGAAGCCTTCATCTTCTTCGCTGGTTTCTTTCTTACTCTTTGCTGGGTTTCATCAGACGTGAAAGAAAGTCACAAACAGCCATAAAAATTGGAACCAACAACAAGATTTGCAACCCAGATCTTATCACCCAAAGTACTACATCAAATCACAAAAAAATACAGTGGAACTTGAACCAATGGCTTGCAAATGAGTAGGAAAAGAAAAATTGCAGCAAGGATTTCCCTGAATCTGGTGTGGATTTAAGCTTGTGTGAAAGGGGAAAGGTGAAAGGAACTACCTTTAATGCTTTATAGGGCCCAATGAACGTGGAGGCTCTGAGGAAAATGCACCCAAATGAAGAAACCCAGCTAATCAAATTTCTCCCATGAGACGTCCAAGTGCCGACGAGTAGACAAATTTGACCCAAATATTGGATGCCCTGGAGACGTTATTTTGAGCAGTTGTATGAACAAAATTTATACCTCTACGGACATAGAGGATGAAGAAATAGAGAAAAATCCAAGATGATCAAGAATAATATCGGAATTTGGTCCGGAAATAGGCCTCTTTGCCAACCCTGGCTCAGAGTTTCTGCTGGAAATTTTCTGCCAGGTGAGCAGATTTGAGCTTCGATTTGAGGGGGTTCTAGACTTTTTTTGCCAGATCTATCTAAACAAAAATTTCCTTTTTTTCCTCCCTTCCTTTCTTTTTTTCTTTCTTCCCCGAAGCCCCTTTTTTCTCTCTTTTCCAGATTTTTCCTCCAAAACTCAATAGCTATCCTTGCCACCTAACCTCTTGCAAGTGTTGTGGTGTGCAAAAAGACAAAAACACATGGCTAATATTCACTCAATCCACTTAGCTATTTTACATGCATTCCACCTATTTTCTTGTTTCTTTTTTCTTTTTACTTTTCAAGACAAAAATTTAGAGTAAACAAAAATGTTAAATTCCATTTTGAGATTTGCCTTGCAAATTTTCATTTTTATTTTGAAAAAATTGAATTTCAAAAGATTAAAAAATTGAAATTTTTAGTTGTGAAATTTTCTTTTTTCAGAAATTTAATTCAAAAATTTTTTTTAAAAGAATGATGTACCTAATTTAATAAAAATAGCTAACTATCATTTTGCGAACTTTGGTTAAATAAAAATAAAAATAAATTAAATTAAATTAAAATTTTGGTGTCTACACATATATTTGCAAAAAAAAAAAAATTTTAAATACACCTTTAAAAATTAAAAATAAGAGTGCTTTAAAGTAAAAGAATTACAGTATAAGAAAAAATATTGCAAAGGTAAAAAACTCAAAGCCCAATCAATGAGTTATGAAAATAATAGACAAATAAATTAAAGAGATAGAAGAAGTGGGCAAGCTATTCAATTAATTAGATAGATAAGAAGAGGAGTAATTGGAACCAACAAAATCAATGAGAATATACCATTCTAATTTTTTCCTATTTTTTATATAATTACAGGAAATCCTCAGAGGTGAGATTAATATACACAATTATAATGCAACAATATCACGGTTGGCAATATTGCCAGAGTCATAATCTGGAAACTATATCTGCAGATTCAATAGTTTGATGGGGACTTGTAAAGCCATCAAAATCAGAATAGAAGGAGCAAATTCCCAATAAAAATGGAATAAAAAACAAATGGGATCAGTCTAAACATAGAATTCCTCTTGTACAAACCTATATGATTGAGTAAAGTGAAAGTTTGAGAAGACCAGCTGAGCATTATTAGCAACCTTCTCAAATTATTGTCTGGAATAGTTACTCGAGGATGTATAATATATGGAATAATCACCTTTAGATATCTAGAAGGGGTAGAGCAGATACTTGACTACGTTGACGTGCATCTACTATGATCAACTTTTCCAGACCCAGTGAATTTGACACCTAACCAGTCTATGAGAAAACAACCTAATAAATATTGGTTAATGGACATGGTTGAATACAGACAGAAGTTCCTGAAGGACATAATCAGCTGCTAATTTCTAATATTAGATTCCAAATAAAGAAATGACTTTCCCATGGATATAGAGGCTAGAGGGTCACTTAGAATGTAAGTGAGCTATTTGTTTTTTGCAGCGTTAAGGGTATCTGCTGGTTTGGTTGCTTTGCCTGTTAATATAGCCAATAACTGATACAATATACTAATAACATATTAAAAAGACATAACGATTAGATTCATTATAATCTCATTTGCTGAAAGATTAAAAAGAGCAAATATGCACAACAAACAGAAATCAATTGTTCTTTTCATCATTAAAACCAAAGATAAACATCAAAACCTCGAGTAAAGATGTAGCTCCTGGATCATTAGGAAGAATCACAATTGACATTCGCTTCTTATCAGTAAACTCACAGTTGGCTCAATCTGCGTAGCAAACATCATGAATATTAGCTTCACCTAGAATAGGCTCTTTGCACGTCAAAATAAGAAGTGAAACACTGGCATGATAATTGAAAATTGATACTGTCTGGAACAGAAGAAAGAAAATGCCCACTCTGACAGAACTATAACTGACAAATAAGTTGCCTCATTTCTCGAAGGAACCTCTCAACTTTTGTAGATTTGCCAAACTCACGTAACCAAATAGTGGGAACAAAAGATAACTCAAAAAAGGCTACAGAATAGCTCCATTGTGCTAAATGCTCTGTTCTTCAATTACAGAAAAACACACATCTCTTGAAATGCCCTTGTTTTCAAGGCTAACTTTTCTACCTATCACAAACAATTCTAGTATACCAGACTGTCAAAATTGTTATGTCCAATTTTCACTTAAAACAGAAGTATAGACAAGTAATCTAAATTTACCCTCAACATAGTACAAAAATCAACAGCTTCACCAACTCCTCTAGTAGGTGGTCTATGCAATTCTTTTATCTCTAGCATTTCTAATAGCAAGAGGGAAACAGGAATAAAGGTACTAGTTGAAGCAGCAATTCTATTTACCACTTTTATACACCACCATATGAAAGGAAAATACTAAGCTATAGAATTTTTATACACCACCATAGCTTAGAATTTTGCAAAACAGAAAAAGATTAGAAAATGGATGGTGGGCTAAAGATTAGAAAACAGAAAAAGGAAATCATTGGGCTAAACAATCATATTAAACTAGAAATAATTGGTAGGCCCAATAGTCTTTAATTAACGATAGGTTGCAATTTCATCATTTATTTTAGTATTAATTTCCCCTATTACTTGACCCGATGGGGATTAATTGTTAAATTCTACTCACTTTTAGTATTTTACATCTATTTCAGAGAGTAGAACGAAAATATGATAACAAGTGCCAATTTGGCAAGAAAGGAATCCAAATAATAGAGCTTATTCCAGGAGCATTTTTGGAAAAGGAAAACTTTTGCCCATTTTTTGGTATTTTGCTGAAG